GTGTTTAGAGCCCACTAAGGAAGAAGGTCGCTGGAAAATATCCTGGGATTTTAGATAGAACCCCTAAAAGCTACACTCTTGGAGTAGAGAGTAGAAATAAACCAACCCTCACTAAGATGGAAACTCAGCCTCCAGTCAGTTCAATCTCTCACTAGTAAAATGTCTGCCCAATGCTAACTTCCAGAAGCAAATGTAAATCTCTCTAGAGAAAGGTAATAACCAAAGCTTCAAATTTCCTTTGAAAATTTCCTTTTTTCATGCACAAAGTCATTCATTCAATCAAAATTTACCCTACATTCCAGGAGATAAGGTCAAATGACCAAAACTGAGGGGGAAAAAAGACAATAAAAATGGATCTACAAGAGGTCCACATATTAGAGTTTATTGACATATAATTTAAAATATGTGTGATTAATATACTTAAGAAATTACACAACAAAATGAACTTCAACAAGGACTGAAAATTATAAATGAAGAACCAAATGGAAATTTTAGAACTGAAAAATACAATGAATGAAATTAAGAACTCAATATATTGACTTTATCAGTAGATTAAACAAAAATGACAAGAGTAAGATTAAGGAACTGAAAGGACAGGAGAAAATAGCCAGACTGAAACATGGAGAGAGAAAAAAATGGAAAATATAGATAAAAACTCAGTAATAATATAGAATATTTGAACAAGACTGACAAAGTTGATCAATATAATTCATATTCTTAGAACATTACATTCAAGAAACACAGACTACACATTCAAGTTCATCAATGCTGGAATATTTATCAAAATTGATTATATGCTTGGCCAGAAAGCAAATATCTACTTATATTAAGTGATTGAGATTATAGAGTATATTATCTGATATAGTAGAAATAAGCTAGAAACCAATTTTTAAAGGTTAATAAAAAGTAAAAGAAAATTCCCAGATTTTTTTTTTTTTTTTGGAGACAGAGTCTTGCTTTGTTGCCCAGGCTAGAGTGCAGTGGCATCATCATAGCTCACTGCAACCTCAAACTCCTGGCTCAAGCGATCCTCCCACCTCAGCCTGCTGAGTAGCTGGAACTATAAGCCCACACATTGTGCCCAGCTAATTTTTCTTTTTTTGGTAGAGACAGGGTCTCGCTCTTGCTCAGGCTGGTCTCAAGAACTTCTGACCTCAAGGGATCCTCCTGCCTCTGCCTCCCAGAGTGCTAGGATTACAGATGTGGGCCACCACACCCAGCCATATACATTTGATATTAAAAGAAAAAAATATATAAACAAATATTGAACTCCAGTTAATAACATGCATACTGAAATATATAACTTCCAACTTACTTGGAAATGCATCACAAAAATAAGATCAACGACAGACGCATATATATGAGATCAAGCATAGACTCTAGATGGTAGGTATAGATGAGATTCCTATTACTGCCGCAACAAATAACGACAAACTCAGTGGCTTAAAACAAATTCTATTACAAAATTATTCTATTATCAAATTTATTCTATTACAGTTCTGTAGGTCAGAAGTCCAAGGTATCTGCAGGGCTGCATACCTCTGTAGTCTCTGGGAGAGAATCCATTTCCTTGCCTCTTCCAGCTTCCACATATATTCCTTGGCTTTCAGAACCTTCTTCCATTTTCAAAGCCAGCAGCATAACATCTTTAAATCTCTTTCTCTCTGACTACAACCCCTACCTCCATTATCACATCGCTTTCTCTGACTCATTCTCCTGTCTCTCTCTTGTAAGCAGCTTTATGATTCTTATGAGAATCAACATCTGGGTCCACCCAATAATCCAGCAAAATCCCTCCATTTCAAAATTCTTAATTTAATCACATCGACAAAGTCCCTTTTGCCATATAAGGTAGCATATTCACAGGTTCTTGGGATTATGACATGGACATCCATGGGTGCCATTATTCTGTCTACCACAGTGGGTATATGGATGTTTACCGTAAAATTCTTTCACCTATTATATACATTTGAAATTTTCCTAATAAAATGTTGGGAAAAAATTAAAATCCAGGAATGCAGATAAAGTGTTACCATCAGAGTAAATGTGAAAACCAAAAACTGGCCGGGCACGGTGGCTCACGCCTGTAATCCCAGCACTCTGGGAGGCCGAGGCGGGCGGATTGTTTGAGCTCAGGAGTTCGAAACCAGCCTGAGCAAGAGCAAGACCCCGACTCTACTAAAAATAGAAAGAAATTAATCGGACAACTAAAAATATATAGAAAAAAAAAAATTAGCCGGGCATGGTGGCGCATGCCTGTAGTCCCAGCTACTCGGGAGGCTGAGGCAGAAGGATTGCTTGAGCCCAGGAGTGTGAGGTTGCTGGGAGCTAGGCTGACGCCACGGCACTCACTCTAGCCAGGGCAACAGAGTGAGACTCTGTCTAAAAAAAAAAAAAAAACCAAAAACTATCTTTTTCCATGACAGAGAGAAATTTTTTCCCCCTTTTAAGAAGAAAGCTTTCTTTTCAATGAGGCATTTCACTGAAGGTACCATATACTCTTACATGTGATCATTAAAAACATTGTTCCTCCTCTTCCAAAGATAGTGTTTAAAAGCACTCAAAATGGTCAGGCATTTGACATATCATCATAGGCTTTCCTATAATATAGCCTCTAACACAACTAGGCCATCTCAAAGGCTGGTAATAGAATTGTTTACCTTTATTATTTTTTTTATTTCAATACATTAGGGGTACAAATGTTTTTTTTAACATGGACGAATTGTATAATGCTGAAGTCAGGGCTTTTAGTGTATGTATCACCAGAATAGTGTACATTGTACCCAAGAGGTAGTTTTTTATCTCTCACCACCTCCCACCCTCTCCCTTTCTTAGTTTTCAACATCCATTACACCACTTTATGACCATATATACCCTTTCTTCAGCTCCCACTTATAAGTAAGAACATGTGATATTTGTTTTTCCATTCCTAAGATATTTTACTTAGGATAATGGTCTCCAGTTCCATCCAAGTTGCTGCAAAAAACATTATTTCATTCCTTTTTATGGCTGAGTGGTACTCCATGTGTATATATACCACATTTTCTTTATGCACTCATCAGTGGATGGGCACTTAGGCTGATTCCATATCTTTGCAATTGTGAATTGTGCTGCAATAAACATTCATGTGCAGGTGTCTTTTTTATAAAATGAGTTCTTTTCCTTTGGGTAGATGTCCAGCAGTGGGATTGCTGAATCAAATGGTAGGTCTACTTTTAGTTCTTTGACGAATCTCTGTACTGTTTTCCATAGAGGTTGCATTAGTTTACATTCCAACCAAGAGTGTATATTGTTCCCTTTTCACTGCCACATACAGAAGAATGAAACTGGATCCCTATCTCTCACCATATACAAAAACTAATTCAAGACAGATTAAAGACTTAAATGTAAGACCTGAAACCATAAAAATTCTAGAAGAAACCATAGGAAAAACTCTTCTGGATGATGGCCTAGTCAAAAGAATTTATGACTAAATTCAGCAACAACAAAGCAAACACAGCAACAAAAACAAATAAATAAATGGGACTTAATTAAACTAAAAAGTTTCTGCACAGCAAAAGAAATAATCAACAGAGTACTCAGACAACCTACAGAATGGGAGAAAATATTCACAAATTATACATCTGACAAAGGACTAATATCCAGAATCTACTAAGAACTCAACAAATCAGCAAGAAAAAAACCAAATAATCCCATCAAAAAGTGGGCAATAGAGATGAACAGATTATTTTCAAAAGAAGATATACAAATGGCCAAAAAACATATGAAAATATGTTCAACATCACTAATCATTAGGGAAATGCAAATTAAAACCACAATGAGATACCACCTTACCCTAACACTGTTCCCTTGCTAACCTGAAATTTTTCAGATTTTTAAAGGAAGTTTATTTTTTAAGTTAGAAATATGAACAGACTAAAATGTAATGTTTAAAACATAACAAAACAGAATATTAAGTTTTAAATAGTGGCATAAAGTTATTTTACTTAACGGTAACATTTTAAACTAATTTTATAAAAATAGTTCTTTGTAATGCTTATCCAAGATATCATTTTTAAAGTAGGATTTCATCTTTAAACAGACTTTTGTTACACCAATAAGTAGCTTTATATAAAATGAACATTGTAATATTTAAATTTTGTTATTATAATAAATCTCAACATTTTATATCCTAGAACAGGTTCATATTATAATAAAAACATTTCAGATCTCTCACTTATAGTTTATTTTCAGCATGTCATCAAATTCTATTGATTCTTCTTTCTGCCTCTTCTGTTCTATCTTCACAGTCATATATAAGTCCCAGTGAACTCACTCCTAGATCATTATTGCAATAGTTTTATTTTATTTTCTTTTCTCCAGAATCTTAAAAGCCCCAATCTGTTCTATACAGTTAACAATATAGTTTTCAAAGTTAGACACATATCAGTCTCAGAAATGAAATGCTTTTCAAGGGGATTTGCATAATATAGATCTCCTGCTGAAATCAACATATTTTACAATTTTATACTATATATCTCCTTTTTAAAAATATCAGTTATCACTTTTAAAAATAAGGATATTTCACTCTTTAAACCCAGAACACTTGCTACATACATTTATTTTGTCACTTAATCATGTGCTGCCTTATTTCATTATTTAATCATTTCATAGGTACCTATATTATAACTTTAACAAAAACATAATCTCCCCATGAGCAGTTCTTTTTCTAGTACCTAACTATAGTATGATCTGTATATTTCCAGGGACTCAATAAATGCTAGTTGACTTATCAAGTATTAACAATCTGAAAATTATTTTTTGATTTAGTTTCCAAATTCTTATTTTCCATTCCCTGCTCATTGACTTAATTTGTCCTATTCGCTTTTACTTCATTATTTGGACTATATATTTTCTTTCTAAACAAGAGGGGCTTTTAGGTCTTTTTTTCCCCTTGAGGAACAAAAAAACTGAAGAAAACAACTTCTCTTATTAAAAAAGCATTTAAAAAAGGAGCTTACCCTTCTCATACGCAACTCTTCTAATGCTTCCAGTAAACTTGTTTTGAAATCTAGTAGCTGAATAGAAAACAATGTCTCTGAAGAACCATGAAGAGTAAAGGTAGATGATGATGACTCAGTCTTGAAATCATCCTCCATATTAATATTTATTTCCTGTAATATAAAAAGGTTTTAACTGAAAAAATCATTTATCTAGGTTTTTCAAGTAAAAAGATAGTTACCATAAAAACGCAACAACCTATATTCCATAATCTTCCAAGTTCAGCACCAAATAACAGTTTTATTATCACTCTTACTATAACATTGATACAAAAAACACTCAGCAACAATGGTCCTATTCTGTTTCTCTATGGCTGAGGCCTTTTCTGGTAGTGGAGTACCCTCAAAGCTTAAGATTTTCTGCCTCTAAATACCAGTCTCCTCAAGGCTGTGTTCATAATCTTGCAGGCAAGGCTTAGCCCTTCACTGGTTGCTTCATGCCAAGGCTGGGATACACATTCTGCTTCCTAAACTTTGCTTTCACATAAAGCTACTTTGCAAGGATAATGGGTGACGTGAATACTAATTAAAAGCAATGCAATCTTCTTCTTCTTTTTTTTTTTTTTTTTTTCTGTTTTGAGACAGAGTTTCACTGTTGCCCTCACTAGAGTACAGTGGCATCATCATAGCTCACAGCAACCTCAAACTCCTGGGTTCAAGCAATCCTCTTGCCTCAGCCTCCCGAGTAACTGGGACTACAGGTGCCCACCACCACACCTGGCTAATTTTTCTATTTTTTTTTTTGTAGAGACAGGGTCTCGCCCTTGCTCAGGCTGGTCTCAAGCTCCTGACCTCAAGTGATCCTTCCACCTTGGCCTCCCAGAGTGCTAGGTGTGAGCCACCATGCCTAGCCATAATGCAATCTTTTAACAAAGTTGGAAGAGGAAGCCTGGGAAAACTGCCTTTTATTAAAAACCAAGGGACTTATATAACTTTCTCTACCCAGAAAATGTATGAGTCAGGCTGCAAAAAACTTTTCAACTTTTACATTTGAAATAATTATCAGTTCACAGGTAACTGCAAAATGTACAGGAAGTCCTATGCACCATTCACTCAGCACCCCTTCCCAATGTTAACATCTTGTATAACAATAGTACAATATAAAAAAACATGCATTAACTTTGGTGAAATCCACTGAGATTTTGAGGATTTTACCAGTTATACACGCATTCATTTGTGTGCATGTGTCTGTATATATACTCCTATGCAAGTTGATCATGTATATAGCTTCATTTAACTATGACCACAATCAAGACAGTCTTGAACAGAAAGAATTCTAACATCAATACAGGCTTCCTCAAGCAGCCTCTTTGTTGCTATACCCACTCTCTTCTCCTATTTTTAACCCCTAGTAAATACTAATCTGTCCTCTACCTCTATAATTTTGTTATTTCAAGAGACATAAATGGAATCACATATCATGTAACCTATGGCCTTTTTTTTAGGTTCATCCAAGTTGTTACATGTATCAATAGTTCATTCCTTTTTACGTTGAGTAGTATTTCATGGTATGAATTATTTTTTATTTATTTATTTATTATTATTTATTTAACCACTCACCCACTGAAGAACACTTGAGTAGTTTTCAGTTTGGGGCTATTATGAATAAAGCTATTATGAACATTCATGTACAAGTCTCTATCTGAACATAAGTTTTCATTTCTTAGGGATAAACGCCCAAGAGAACAATAGCTGGGTTGAATGAATATTCAGTCCGTTTTTAGTCATAAAGAAACTGCCAAACTATTTTCCAGAGTGGCTGTATCATTTTACATTCCCACTGGCAATGTATGAGTAATCTAGTTTCTCCAATTTTCTGCCAGCATTTGGTGTTATCACTATTTTTTATTTTAGCTGTTCTTATAGGTAAGGTATTAATAAGCATTCTCCAGAGAAAGAGAAATAATATGTGTGTGTGTGTGTGTGTTTACATATGTATGGGGGGGTGTGGGGAGGGAGGGAGAAAGATTTGTGAAAGTTACATACACACACGCACGCGCGCACACACATACACAGAGGGGGTAGAAAAGGTTTATTTTAAGGAACTGGCTCACACAATTGTGGGGGCTAGCAAGTCCAAAATCTTTATGATAGGCCAGCAGGCTGGAGACCGAGGGAAGAACTGATGTTGCAGCTCAAGTTCAAAAGCAGTCTGGCAGCAGAATCCCTCCCTCCTTGGGGAATCCTAGTCTTTTGCTCGTAAGGCCTTCAACTGATTAGATGAGGCCCACCCACATTATGGGGAGTAATCTGCTTTATTCAAAGTCTGTTGATTTAAATGTTAATCACATCCATAAAAATACCTTCACAACATTATCTAGACTGGCATTTGACCAAGTATCTGGGTACTATGGCCTATCCAAGTTGACACACATAAAATTAATACAGGTGTGAACGCAAGAAATTTTCTAAAAGGAAAACTTCCATTCCTGAAAATGATGAGCTATGTTATTTGAACAAACCCTTCTATTAAAACTAACAATTCTAAATAAAATATTTTTAAATCTTCTTAAAAGTATTAATGACCTGAAAAGATAATAAATTATGAAGCCAAATTCTAAATTCTAAGAGAGACCCAGAACTAAGAAGTTAACTGAGAATAAAAAGTCATCTTTACCCTGGGGGCATCTGGTAAATGAAGCAAAATTAAACTATGGCTTTGATAGACTCTGGTTTAAGAGGTATAGAATTCAAACTTAGGGCTTGCAAAATTAGGGAGTCTAATAAAAGTCATACTATATTAAGCAGAATTCAGAAGAGTTAATGTCTCAGGTAAAGCTGAACCAAAAGTAACTCACCTTGTACAGGAGAGGTGCCTTAGCACCAAGCAAATAGAGTATACGGAGAAGAAAAGGGAGAAGACAAAGAAAGAGAAGAGAAAAAAGTCTTAGAAGGTTGTAAAAAACTTAATTTCACATGAATTTGTTAATAAAAGTTGCTTCATAGGATGGTGAAAGACACCTCAATCTATTAGTATAATTTAAAATGTTTCAAAATTGGTAATGCACATAAGAATCTTATAGAAGCAAGTGAAAATTTCTTCTAGAAGAATGTAACTTTATTCTAGGTACTCAAGGAATCTTCACAAGTAATTTTCAAGGATAATGAATAGAACACAAAGATAACCAGGCATGGAAGGAAACATAGCATTGTGAGAACCAGCAGAAAAAAATAGATAACAGAAACAGACACATGCATACTACACATTTTGACATTATCACACACAATTAAACAATTATGCTTACTATATTTAAAGAAATAAAGTCAAGCTTGAAAATATCTGCAAGTAAGAGGAGATTTTTAAAGATCCCAGGGAAAGTTCTAGACAGTCACTAAAATATATGATCAAAAATATATAACTAAATTGATCCGTTTGACAAGATTGAACAGCTTGAAAAAATTTTTAAAAAAAGAGAAAGAGAAAAAAGATCAGGTAAAGTATCTAGAATACAGCCAGGAGATTAAAAAAATGGAATGTATATATGAAAGGTTATGAAAAATAGAAGATAAAGTGAGAAGCCATAATACATTCCAGAAAGAAGAGAGAAATAAAGGGGCAAAGACTATTATTTTAAAGAGTTAATACCTGATGATGTTCCAGACCTGAAGAAGAAACAAATCTAAAAATCAATAATCCCACTGAATTGCACAATGGATAAATAAAAAAAAATTCACACTTATTATAGTAAAGTAACCCAAAATAATCTGAAAAAATCTTAAAGTGGCAGCAGCCTTCTCAAAAGCAGCATTTGAAGCCAAAAATCAATGGAATGATACCTTCAATGTGCTAAAAGAAAAATGCCAACCTAGATTACTATACCCAGCAAAAATAACTTGCAAGAATGAGAGAGGAATGACATCAGTAGGAATGAAACTAGTAAGGATTTCCAAAAATCCTTTCCTCCATAAAAGCAAGTGAGAACATTGGCAAGCATTGTCACAATCAACTTTTCAAGTTCTGAAAATTAACCAAAGAGTTATAGCAATCCAGGGTATTTATAGAGAAAAACAGATGAGTCTAGGTAAAGTATGGAAGCTTTGTAGTGTTTTAATTTGCCCTCTCCCCAGATCTATGAGAGCCTTGAAAACCAACGGCCCTACAATCAATGGCATAGCAGCCACTAGGAGTTAAAACAGAGTTGGAACATCTCCAAACCTCTGTTTCCAGAGAATTGTTTTTAACTGACTTGTCTGGTAGTTCTCTAGTAAACTCCACTCACTGGACTAATCTTTATTTAATCTGACTCAGAGTTCATCTAGTGAGAACAGCATTTTTCCCTAGAGGCATCTTCTGAAGAAAATTACTGATGATTCTTCATAATTACAATGACCTGAAGCAAAGATAACACTTAGAATGCACAACAAATGGACCAAAAAATTTAAAAGGAAAAATCTGGGAAAGGAGACATCTATAGGGACTTTGAAAAGTTCTGACATGTTCCTGGGACTCTAGAATGCCACACACACGGGTAGAGATATGCATATGCCAAGGAAAGACCTGAGAAGGTCCTAAACTCTCACCTCTGGCTGACTTTGAGGCTTTATACAATCAAGCAGTGAATATTTATTTACGTATAATTAGGCAGACTTGTAAACTGCCTGCCTATGCATTGAAGGTATGCCCCTACATGCACAAAGAGCATTTCAGCAAAGTCTGGCAGACTCATTGGTTGCAGGCATCCAGTGAAAAATCATTAGCTGACCCCCACTAAGCTAATGAAATAAAGGCTTCAATGACCACACGCAACAAACACAGACCTTAAAGAATTAGAACAGAAGTCACTAAACAAACAAATAGCAGCAACAACAACAGAAACAACAAAAACAAAAAGCACCAAGAAATAAACCCTTTGGAGATGGAAGAATCTCGTTTCTACAGTTGCCATATTACATACATTACATTTTAAATACATGGTTTATACACTGTAGATTATTTTAAATGTCCAGTTTTTTAAAGAAATTATGAACATGTAAAAAAAAAACCCCAAAAAATTATGGATCATACACAGGAAAAGAAAACAGTTAATGGAAACTTTTCCTGAGGAAGACTACACATTATATTTACTGGAAAAAAAATTTAAATCAGCTACTTTAAATAT